AAAAAAAGAAAAATAAATATGTTATGATTTATCTATTTTGAAAATAACATACCCTGGTAATTTTGCTTTGGGATTTAGCAAAGTATTTTTTCTGAGTCCGAGCCAAGAGTTCTTGTCCTCCTGCTATAGCCAATATAATGGCATCAGCCATGCGGTTATCATGTAGACAAAGGTCAACAGCACTCTCAAAGTTACCCGTCAGCAAAGCCTGAGTAATTAAACCATCAATATCTGAAACAAGGAAAAATACAAGTTCAACAGAGATTTCTGTCACCAAAACAACTAAAAAAAATCTACACACATCAGTTTTTAAGCTCAGATACAAATGGAGAACATGATGTTAATTCCTAATTACTGAGTATTAAATTTCTGACATAAGCTGTTAGTATTTATAGAGAGATACATGGAAACATATACTAAACTACTGATTGCTTAGACTGGATGAACACCGATGACTCAAGTGTCACAACACTCCACCCCTCTCAAGGCACTGATTACATACACTATATGGTGACTCAGTTTTTTCTTAACCCTCAACTGCCTCTCACAAAACAGTTTTAACTGGAACTATTAGCTTTCAAATAGTCTTTAAAAGTTTACAAATCAAAACCAACAGGTACTTACCTCCACTGACAGAGATATTAAATGTCCCTCCAGCTGAGGGAAGAAAGTCAGATTCTTGCTTTTCTTCTTTAATGCGCTAAGGAGACAGAAAAGGCAGCAATTTAGCCAAAATAAGACTGTGGAACAATCTGCTACAAAAACAAAATTTATACATGATGTTTTATCTACTGATGAGAGGACATGCTAAGTTATTTCAGAGAAGTCCTCATCTCTAAATTTATACTCAGGTTTACGACTTCCTGAAGTATTAGTTCCCATTGTGCAATTGTAAGTAGAAGACAAGAACACCAGAAATAGTAAAACAAGTATACATATTCATCATAGACAGCATCTCAAAAGTTATTACTGAAACTAAAGAACCTGTTTTCTTTAGATGCCTCAACTTGAGAAGTGCAAAATATCCATGTTTTAAATTATATTTAGATTTTAAGACAATCCTACTTCTAACATGTAAACGTTCCTGTCCACTAGGCTCGGTTGTATCTTTCTGTTACAACTGAATCCTTAAGAAAAAAAAAACACTTGGTGTCCCAGGCATAAAGGCACAACAGGGGCCAGGGATATGACTCAGTGACTGAGTACTTTGCCTAGTAAGTTTAAGGGTTCAATTCCTAGCAGCACAATTTGTCATAGCAAAATCTTGGAAACAACCCAAATACCCATCAACTGCAGAACAGATAAAAAAGATGTGGTCTTTTTATACAATGGAGTACTGCTCAGCCACAAAGATGGATAAACGAGATGGATGCAACTTGAGACCACACTCGTAAGTGAAACAGACCAGACACACATGTATAAACATCATATTACCTCCCTACGGTGGGAAGTTGAAAGAGTAATCAATATCCAAAATGTACAACAGATACTGTAAAATGGGAAGAAACTTCAAAAGGGAAGAGAAACTGGGATGAGGGAATGGAGAAAAGAAGGGAAAAGCAAAAATACAGTTAAGATACTTACACTACTCATTTCTCTTAGTTCAGTGCAAAGAAAGGTTTGTGCTAATATTGTTTAGAGAAATCAATGCCAATATCTTGTACTCTGAGTAATTTAAAGATAACAATACACAGTGTAGTAACCATTTTTTTTTTTTTTTT